AGACTTTCACAGTGGTGAGGACACCGAAGGCATTGCAAACACTTGTCTTTTGAAAATGGTTGATGTGGCCATGAAGAACTGTGAAAAATCCAACGGTCCGCAAATTGATTTGGAATCATGGATTAAAGTGCTAAAAAAAGGCAAATCTGCCTCTGAAATACGCGACACGAGGACGGCATTCAGAGAAGCGGGAATTAATTTTGAATATTTTGAAAAACCTAAAACGATTAAAATTCCTCAAGAACCATTTTTCGGTAGCGCTGTTAGAATACTACTAATGTCTAATAAAATAACTTGGAGCCCTGACGTGTTTGTCAAATCAGCTCCAACAGTAACATTAGATTTAGATGAAATTAAAACATTAGCTCCGTCATATGATTTCGATTTAGAAATAGACGAAGAGGAAGACAAATTAATAAGCAATTTTGATTACACGTCGCGATATCGGGATATATTTCCTCAAGTATGGTTGTTTGAAGCTGTAACGATGACCAACACAGGATTCAGCAGATCATTGACTGTGCCTGATAGTCTCACGAGTTGGGAAGCCAATGCCGTGTGCTTCACGAAGGATCGCGGTCTGTGGATGCCCGAGAACAAACCACTCCTGACTGTGAGCATGCCCTTCTTCATCGAGTTCACTCCTCCTCTCGTCGCGCGTCGAGGAGAAATCCTTCATCTTCCTGTCAGCGTCTTCGTCTACCCACCGACGCACAACGTCACGTCGAAGCAGTGCTACGAGGTTGATGTCGGTCTGGAGGTGGACCCTCAGGACTGGCGCATGATTGGTGCATCGGAGTTCACCACGTGCATCTGTACGGGTGACTTGAAGGAGACCTTCAAGCTGCCTCTTCGACCACTCAGAATCGGTCAACTGAATGTGACTGCGACGGCCACTGCTGCACGAGGATCAGCCATGTGCGGCGGTGATGGAAGGAACGTCGTGGTGGTAGGTGATGCTGTTCGACGGTCAGTGCGTGTGGTGGCCGAAGGAGTGGAGAAATCGCTCACACGTGGTGGCACCTTCTGCACAACTGGAGGTACGTACTGCCTTGTTTCGCCGCACCAGTCTGTTTCTAGTGAGTTCAGTGTTGTTGGTGGCGT